AAAATAGTGTGTATAAATAATACCTTATCCACCTATATATAATTTCAGAATGTGTTGAGCCTAAGTGGCAGACTCGCATGCTTCGTAATCCTATGTGTCAAAATTTCATGCTTTGTTATTTGGCTTAGATAGATTTTAATTTAATTCCAATCCAAAACTAATTAGGTTCGGATGACCATAAATAAGTTGATTTATTTATGATCATTCTAGGAGTATTAATTGTATTTTAATATCATTTCCTACTATAACTATTGAATTGTAAATGTATTTTAAAAGTTGATAATTTCTGTTTTTGTTATCGGTTTTACATATATAATGTATCAAATAAATCATCTTTTTATGAGTTTCGTTTTGACATCCATATTGTATATATAAAATAAATAAATTATATTTATCTTTACAATAATAAAAAATATTTATTAAAATTAAATAGAAAAATTATTTCTCAATTGATATATTCATGTTTAATGTAGTTATATGTTGTAAGTTGATTTTTTTTTTTTTATAATATAACACATGTAAGTCGCACAAGTAACAAGTGTCATACTAATATATATATATATATATATAAATTATTTATTTCAACAATTTTTTCTCATTAATTTTAAATTTTAAGAAAAAATATTAGTTAATATGTGTCCACCTATAATGCTCACCTACCCACGGTGGGCACATGTTAATATGTCCACCGCTTATGTGTCATGCATACATTGGTGAACATCACCATGCCACATAAACGTGGGCATATTAACATGTGTCCACCGTAGGTAGGGAAACATTAGTCTTGCTTTCACTTCTTTGCAAGCATAACACATCTCTGAAGGGACTAATCCAATATCATCAGCCCACTAACCAAACCTGATATATGGCCCGTTTTCTTCCAATCAGCCCATTAAGCTCTTCTTGTGGCAAAATTTCAACTAATTTTTATAATCTCCCCTTAAATTGTGATACGGAACCAGGAATTTTCAATCGCCATGGCTGATTTCTGACAGGTAATGCAGAAGCTTTTTTCTTTCCCTTTCATTACGATTTGGTTTGATATTGAACTTCTCAGGGCCCTTCTCACATCGAACTTCTTCCGTAGCCATTAATGAACCCTAAGCACTCTGCAGACGTGCTCAAGTAACTAATTTTAATTCTATGCCTCAATTGTTGTTGTTTGGTTCGATAGTATTAAGATTGAAGTCTGGTCATTTTTTTTTTTTTTTTTTACTAATTACCAGGCATTTGGATAAGCAGAAGGAGCTTATAACGGATGCATATAGGTCAATGTCTGACGAATTGCATAAACTCCAGGTTCTAATTTCGATGTTTATGTTGTTTTTCGTGATTTCTAAATCTATGTTCTTGATTCGTAGATGTTAATTAGTTCAAGTTTGAAATTGAAATTATTATTAGATTGCTAAGCATCCTTATATAAATTGGAAGTATTACACCCGAAGTTGATTAGGGTTCATTGGGGTTGTAAGGTTGAGGAAGAAATGCTGATGAGAAAGTATTATGAGTTTATGGCAGCTCAAGGTTTAAGGAGCAAGGTATATATCAGTTTTGCTATTGAACCATTGGATGACACCACTTATGGAGCCATCCACACTTATTCACACGTGTCTTGCAATAAATACACTTTGGACAGGTGTCAATGCATTAAGCGATGGGTGACTCTATAAAGAAAACCATCCGATGGCTCCATAGAATTTCTGAGGTATACATCTCATCATCTAAGACGTTCCTTCATTTTGTTGTAATGCATATTGATTATTGAGGTTCTTGGGTGAGTTAAGTTCGATCCTACCGTGTAGGTGTTTACCACCGTTGGATCATGCGCACTCACACACATACCCATGTGGGTGTGTGTTGGTCCAACGACAATTGACTTTCTTTTTATAGGATTTTAACTTTGTTTTCATTATCTTTTGCTTTGGTTGAGTATTTCATGGAATTAAAAATTCGGTTTCAAGTGATTTTCATGCCTTACACTCAGTGAATTGGATTTTAACAATTGTTTACATCAACATCAACATACCCAACATACCCAGTATATTCCTAACAAGTTGGGAGTATATTCCCAACAGGTTGGGGTCTGAGGGGTCAGTTGTACGCAGATCTTACCGTTGTGTAAGTATACAAGGAGGCTGTTTCCATAGCGACCCAAGGTGCGTTGCGTCGTTTGATATATTTTTTTCTAGAAACTTCACTAATGAAGAAGCACTAGAATTTAATTGAGCCATTTTGATCTAGAATGTAATTGATATATTTTCTAGAATGTAATTGGGACAATTGCTTGCTGCTTGAAAAACCCTTTTCATTTTATTTCCTTTGTTTTTCCACCTTTAAGAACCTTGTTTGGTTTGCTTTCTATATTGAATCTGATATCTCCGTGTGAATTGGCTTCTAAGGCGATTCGTTTAATGGGAATAGAAGATACTGAGTTTTTTAGTTGGTGGAATGAAAGATTGCATGGGAAATTAGAATAGAACTTCACAAGAGAGATACGATTCTACAAAGTCATAAAACTATGTCTACTGGCAGTGGAGTACTTGAAATTTCACTCGAGTTTGTTTGCCTGAGTTCAGAAGATATATGTTGAGAAGAATACATCAAAAACAGTTTTCCCCTCCTTATTTTTGTTCATGTATCAAATCGGAAGACGTAACAGACGGCTTTAATACTCGATGCTACAGTATTCGGTCTAATTTTTACACGATAGGAAAATGTTGGCTTGAGTTGTTGAGAATTGTTGGCTCTCAACATGCCGAAAAATTTGTAACTCGTGAATTTTGCCGTTAAAAAAAGGATAATATAATGATTCAGTTAACCCAAGTGTTATGCTTTTTGCCCAACATGTAATTTCTATATCTGCCCAGTTGTATGTAATTAACATTTATTGCATGTAAGTTAACATTTTCTTTTATAACAACTTTGGATTTGGTGGCATACAATATTTGAATTTGATGTGTTATTTGCAGGTAAAAGGTGGTATAGATTTATCGGAGGATGAAGAAAGTAGTCGAGCTGGAGCAATGGTAACCGTGGGCAGGGATTGAAGGATTGACTCGAGCCAATGTACTTCATCACTGCACACACCACAGGCATCGCTTTTTTTTTTTTGGTTGACGTTGTTGTATATATTACTATCGATTTCGGTTTTTTTCGAAAAGAGAAGAAAAGAGGAAGAGAGGATCATGACATGAGTGGCCTCAGCTTACTTTTAACCTTTGCTTCTCGTGCTAATTTTGCCTTGATAATAAAAATTAGAATTAATGGTTATTTAGATATTCACAGTCTCGTATGCCTGGCATTCCATCAATTAATTTTTTCAAAATGTAATGAAAATGTTGAATTAATAATTAGTACAAAATTGTATCAAACATGATTTAAATACAAAACTACATAAAATCAGTAGAAATGTGAAAAATATAAAAATGTGTGCCATGGAGGGTCGTGTGACAAATCTAGTACAAAAACTGTGAAAAATCTAGTACAAAAATGAATTAAATCGATAAAAAAAATTAAGAAAAAAAAATATAAAATAATTACCCTAAATGAATGTAAGTATGAGTCACATTCATACAAAAATAGATGACAAACATAAAACAGAGCATTTTTTGAAAATTTTCTTTTATTACTTGTTTGGTTAATATGAATATGGGAGATGCTACGGTTCGTTACGAAACCATTCCGTCGGGGCTTGTAGCCGTAAGTTTAACTATCTCTGACGGTTACATGATGATCTAACGGTTACAAATCTAGACGAAATGGTTCCGTAACGGGACCGTAGCATTTCCCTATGACTATCCTCCCTATATATAATTCCAGAATGCGCTGAGCCTACGTGGCTGCTTCTGGCGCTTCGGAATCCTACTTGGCGAAGAATCATGCTTCGTAATTAGGTTTGGACAAATAATATTGATATATTAATAATTAATAATCTAGGTTTGGACATTCCATAATTATTATTTAGCTAACTTAGGTATTTTAATATCACTTGTACTAATATAACCCTTTAATTCCTTGTAATTTTACATTGTGAGACACTAAATGACTAATATATCCTGACTTTTGATTTGTTTCCTTCAATTAGCTATTGAATTGTAAATATATTTTAAAAGTTGATAACTTTTGTATTTCTTATCGGTTTTACATATATAATATATCAAATTAA